GACATACTGCATATTGTTTAGTATGATAAATACATCAGCTGTACCGTCATATCTACCATACAAACATGACAGTGGCATTGACCTGGCAAGCAAGCAAACTAGCATATTTCCCAAAATGTCAAACTATTCTTAATAAACAAGCAACAAGAAATAAGTGAGGAAGAGAGATGCAGAGCAAAAAAACTGCTGCTAGGATCTGAGTCATGACTATCTTGTATGGAAACACTAGCCCTTTTACAGAGTTGCTACCAAGTCCCTTCTTTGCATTCCTGTTTCATGTTTTCACAGAACCATCATGGCATCATGCTGCTCCAGTGTGTGATTTTTAGATAGTATGCTGGCATCGCGGAAGCAAAAGAGGCATAGCATGTAAAACAGCGTCAACCTGTAGCATGACATAAAACATATGCGTCGGCAGCGCTTTCTAAACAATCACAATGACATAACATGGCAATAACCAATCATTTACCGTCCCTGTTACATGGTGGCTGATCTCGTCCTCTGCTTGGAGGGTAAGGAGATCCCAATCCTCATTGTTTTACCAATATGTAGACATTTACGGCTCTATTCTTTGTGTTAGCTGCTAACTGCTAACAGCTACTTTATAAATCTCCCATGGTCTGTAGCACACATAACACATTGTCAAAACGTTGCACCTGTGCTGTCCGTGGTCCCGTCCTGCCAGCTGTCCCTTTTACACAGACGCCATTTTGGTGCTATTACCATCTCCACTGCCGGCTTAAAGGCAAGACAACTCTGCCCCCCCACCCCTTTCTGTTATTGTACCTTTATATATAGAACAGTGAGGTGGCATAACGGCGTGGAATTCCTGTGTTGACGAGGCAGTGTACAGAGGCTACAAAATCACATGTAAATCTTTTGAACTGACTGTTTTGTAAGAAGATTGATTATAGGCAACATAGCATCAGTCTTGTATTACTGAGCTTGTGCTTCTCTCACAGGATCGATGCTAACGTGGAGGACACTCAGCTCAACGTGGAGGCCGCCCACACAGAGATCCTCAAATACTTCCAGTCGGTCTCCTCCAACCGCTGGCTGATGATCAAGATCTTTCTCGTCCTCATCGTCTTCTTCATCATCTTCGTAGTCTTCTTCGCTTAAAGAGACGAGGAGGGCAGAAGCACATGGAATGAGGGGGAGTAAAGTAAGCTTGAGCTGGACTGAGACGACATGTCCAGACGACGTATTTGAAGGACGGATTTCTCTGTCAAAGGGACACTTTGATGGAGGCTTGGGAGCCGCTCAGATTAATAAAGACTTTACCATTAATACAGACTTTCCGGTTTTTCCCAAGCCACAGACTCTTGATCTTAATTCTACGATCCAGTGAAGAATGAAGACGTCAAACTCTGTCCAAATGAAAGAATAAATTATCTAAAATCCCGACTTTGTATAGAGAGCGAGCAAAAAACTGCTCAGTATTGTTCTTTGACCAATTATACATAAACATTTAATCAAAATGGCTATAATTTAATGGTTTGATTCTGCAAACTGTTTTTTTTTTTTTTTTTAATTTTCTTGTTTACCCCACGTCATACATTATTATTATTATCGTTATTTCAAAGCCAAACTGCAGAACTAGAGTTTATCCTCGGATAATTTTGCTTCTTAGTTTACTTTTCATTGAAGAGCATGACTGTGTCCCCTGTTTATCAACAATTCTTCACTCGATATATTTTTTTATTCTGCTATATTCTGTTATGCTTTCAAAGTTTATTTGCCAAATGGGTACTCATACAGAACTGTGACACTATAAGAAGACACTCGCTGCGGTCCAGCATTTCGTGTCCTGCGAGAATAAGGAGTTACAGTTACAGACAGTTGAAGAGACTTTTGCTGGTGGAATTCAGACTCGAGCTGTGACGAAATGTTGAGAAGTGATGCAACAACTCTGTTTAAAATGAAACTGTTTGGTTGCCAGCCGTTAGGCAGGTTGAATGGTTGAAAAAGTGTATACTCGCACATTCAGTGGTGCAGAGAGACTTCAGTATGTGAATCGAGAATCTGAACAGGATCCAGGTGTGATATCAGTGCTGATGAAGGGGTCAGACTGGCTGTGAAGGCTCCACTGATGCAGTGACTCAATCAGCCAGATTCCCCGGAAGTGTCTGGTTACATGTCACTATTGTAGTTTCTTCCCCTCTTAACCTATCTAACCTATTGGACGCTTTTTAAGAAGAAAGGAAACAGTCATTCTTATATTTTTTTCCCTGTCTGTTCTTTTTTAGCCAAATGCCTTGACTTCAGTGTAAAAAGTGCAAATAGTGATAATGATATAAGAAAGTGCATATTAATAAAATGATAATGGGGTGCTGGCATTCGTGGCTGAGAATTTATTGGCATAAGAGGATTAGTCAGCAGTGATATAATTAGCCACGCTGTGAGGCTAAGACTAGCTAACAGAAGTGCTGAGCACATGCAGCTTTGTGTGACATATTCAACATATTTACATCACACTGACATTGTGAATGTGTATTTACAGGTCCCAGACATATTTACATACAAATATTTAGCCTTTTCAGCCTCAAGTGATAAAGGTCCATGCATCTTTCATTTGTAGAGAGGCATCAAGGCTACTAGACTTAAAAAATATACAGTTTACAGATATAAACGGGCAAAAATCCACATGTAGTCACATTTTGTCTTAAATGTTACACAGCTGTTTCTATATTTAAACCAAACACAAACATCTTTATGAAAAAAACTATTTTAGCAGCATAGAAGTAATGACAACATTGCATATTTATTTCTCCAAATACATATATTTACAATAAAAAAGATTACAGATGATACTAGTTATTTCTGGTTACAAGAAATTGCTTGATGACACACTGTGAGAGCACCTGCTAACCAATCTGGAGCCAAACTGTGACTGCTGTGACTGCTGAATATACAGATGAGTGACCTCTGCTGAACCTCCCTGCAATCTACTGCAGAAAACAGCTGTACTGTCTATTGCGTAACATGTTTTTAAAGGGAGAGTTCACGACACGTGTATGATTCATCAGGAGGTGTTGCTCAGAGAGCACTTGCAGCAACTGATTGTTTTTAAGATACCCCGAAGCATGTGAAGGTTAGCAGCATAAAAAGTTTTACTCAGATGAAACCCCATGACACACATTTTAGTTTTTAGTCATGCTAGTGACGTGGCTTTATGTCAATCTATATCTCAACACCTACTGAATGGATTTCCAGGACATTTTGTACAGACATTTCTGATCCCCAGACACTGTATCCTTTTGAGGTTAGTGATCCGTGAAGTTGACGTCACGCTGTGTTGAATTTTTTGGACTGGAATGCCATCTTGTGAGGATCGCGCTATGTTACTTGTGTGGGCAAGCAACAGAACAGAATAAAAAAACATAGATCCATATGACATGGCTGGATTACAGACCTCAATGCACTTCCTCCGCTCACATACCCAGACATTGTAAACTCACTTTTGGTGCATACACTTCGGTAACAAAGCACGTACCTCACAAGATGGCACCCCAATCCCACATGACATTACATACCTTCACATGCTCTACAGTGCCGCCAGTTGACTTGATAAATATCATATCGCTTTTCATAAAATTTAATGTTCCCCTCAGGATTAATTGCTATCCCTTCCATTTTTCTTTTCATCTTGTGCCTTCATCAGGTAAAACATTTAATTTGTCCTATACCTTGGTTTATGATCAAATACCTGGGGCCATATTAACAAAGCTTCCGAGCACTAAGAGTTGCTCCTGGTGACGAAATTGTAAGAAAGAGAGAACTGTGACATTTTCTCAGAATTTCTCCTCAAGTTAAGAGTAGGTCCTGGTAAAGATAAGAGTTATTCACAGAGAATCTTAGACCTTAAAGAGCTCCTAAGGTGAAAACTGTTAGGAGCAGGGAGGAGGACTTGTAAGAGGCTTTAGAGTTTCTTAATCAGAGGAGAAAATGGCGGAAACAGAAGGAGGTCGGAGAAATATTCTCCAAACACTGGATGACAATGAGTTAATGAACTGCTACAGATAAATTCGTGCAGGGATCTCATTAGGGATAGGTACACACTTCCCACCTAACGCTATTAACACCAGAAATAAAATGATCACAACACTAAGATATCTGAAAAACTGGAAAAATGCAACAGTGCAGCAGTGATGACTTTGGTCCGTCTCAACCTTCCATCAGCAGAGTGATCACACTAACAGTGAAAACACTTTCACAGACAGCAGTTCATTTCATTTCCACTGGGTGTCCACACCTTGCAGACTCATAAAAGGGTGTGTCTCTGACAACCAATCACATCTGTTAGTAGAATTCATCACACCTAGCAACAGGGTCGCCCACACCTCCTCACTAAGGTAAACATTTCTATCCCTTCCTTGCTCAGAGTTGACCTGAGAACTTTCCTTAATCCCTCCTAAGCTATGACTCCTTACTAAAAGTTTGCAGGCTATGCTAGGAGTTCTCTGAGAGTGTTCTCAGAATGTTTGTGAATATGGCCCCTGCAAAACTAATGACATTACCATCAGCCTTAGCTAATCAGCTAGCTAATCCGCAAATGTTGGCATGTGCAAAACTTAAGATGGTGAACATGATACCATTATTATTATACCAGCTAAACATCAGCATGTTAGCATTTGTCTCAAATCACCACTGTCTTTAAGTACAGTCTCACAGAGCTGCTACTTACTCTTGTTTTGACAAGTTTGTAACTCACAGCATGACTAAATGCTAATCACACATTTCAGAATCGTAAAACCAAAACAACAAAAGATGATGAACCAAAGACTTAAAGTTAATTAACAATTAGACTTTTTACCTCCCCCCTAGGAACAAGAAAACGTGTGGGCTTTTTTCCCCAAATCCACTCTGTTCCACTGAATGCACCCTCCTCCCTCAATATTCCCCATTTTTCCTCTCCTCCCCATATTTACAGTATGCTGATCCATCTCTTTACTTTCCCTCCTCTTACTCCTCAATTTTCTCCCCTACAGGTGCTCATCTTCTCCCCTCCACCATACTCTCCCTCCCTCCGCTCACCCATGAGCGCTCTGCTCCATAGGGCCGATCTCCGGCATGCTCCTGCTCCTTCCCTTCCTCGCCCTGGCCTTGATGGCCTCCTCCTCCCCTTCTATATCCTCCTCGTCCGACCAATCCACCTGCTGCTGCAGATTCCCCCTCGAGCCTTTCATGCCGCTGCCCTTGAAGAGGTGACCCGTGCAGAACTTGGTGCGGAAAGTAACAAAAGAGAGACTCTTGCTGCGCTGCTGCTTCTCAAAGACGGGGTCGTGCGTATGCAGGTCTTCGTGTCCGTTCATCTCGTCCATGCAGTCGCGCAGCACTGAGCGAAACAGCCGGGGAACCTCATGAACCTCAGGCTCCATCTGCGACACCAGCTTCCTGAACCTGCAGGGGGAGCATATTATCAGGAACAGAATGTACAAAATACATGCAGAATACTTTACAATCAAGACAAAACAGAAGAAAGGTCCGACATACAAAATGGAGGCAGATGTAGCCATAAGGGGGGAGGTGCCTCTGCCACCACAGTGCAGAATACCTGGCTACACCCCTGGTAGGATATGAACCCTGATTACACTGGTGCTGGAAGGTGAAACAGTGAACTGATTGATTCACCAACCAATTCTTTCAGCTGCAGGTCTTTGTCATTCAAAAATGGTGAAACAAGTTGCAAGAAGGAGAGAACAGGTGTTGGAGCACAGTTTCAGATTTCTAGCTAGGCTATCATGGACGTGGATTTTTAAGATGTCCTGTATGTTGTCTCTTAGAACAGGAATAGGAATCTGAGATTAGCAGCTTATGTACTAAGCTATAGTTAGGGGTCAGTGATGGGGAGTAAACAAATAGATTTAACAACATTCTGCAGTACCTTGGTGGTGGTGTATTACATTCATATTTGCTGATGGACAATGTATATAAAACCAAAACTAACATTCCTGCACATCCCCATGAATAGTAAGATATTTTATGTGTTGTATGTATGTATGACCAGTGAATGAGTGGACATGTTTTTGGCAATAAACTCAATTGTGTGCCATTTTATTAAGTTTTGTTATAATTCTGTGTCACATTTACATGGTTATTTTTATATTTTCTTTGAGAAAAGTAGTTTGAACTACTTTTTCTTAGTAGCTTTAGTTAACAAAGCTTTCTCTCTAGGGTAGCTTTGTTGAACTTCTTTCAGTGTGAATTCATTGGCAATTTGCAAAGCTATGCCTTTAAAGTAGCTTCCCCAGCACTGATAAGGGTGTTAGGGGAATTTGATTGAAGCCCTGCAGCTCTCTCTTCTTCTGTTTCTTCTTTATGTATTATCTCCCAGCATGTATTTCAAGCTCTTTATCCCTTACTGCCTTCATCTATATCACCCTGCCTGTCACTCTTTTAGTCTCTTATAATGTATGAGTGCCTCTTCTTCTCTCTTTTCCCTGTGTCTTTCTGCTTGTCTCTACATCTCACCCTCAGTTTCAATCTGGCTCTTAATTTCACAGTCTCTGTCTCAGTAACAGTTATAGCCCTCTCTTCCCGCCAGTGTGTACCTACAGTATGTCTGTCTCCCTGTCTGTCTCACCTGACGATCAAAGGGCCACACTGTGCAGGAGGGATCTTGGCACAGAGGTCCTGCAGCTCCAGCAGATCACTGGGTGTCAGCTCATAGTGGTGTGGGTGCGGGGTGTTGGCCAGCCAGCTGTAGTCAACTGTGGAAGAGGAGCTGCGACGGCGGCGTTGCCCCTCTGTCGCCCGCTCCAGATGGATGCGCTCAGTGCGTTTCACCATGGCCCCCAACTCCAACATCAGAGTATTGGTCACCAACTCCTCAGTGGAGCGTTGGCCGGGCACTTTGGGCTCAAGGGATAAAACAGCAGACCAAGGAAACATCTGGGAAAGGACAGAGTTGGTGGAGTCATGTCACATAAATTCCTTATACATGGATTTTGTATTCACTGTACCTAACTTTAAGCACTTTGATATTCGGGGTTTTAGTATTTTAGAAATATATTGGAGAATAAAGACAAAGCAAAGGGTCACAGAAACATTTGGACACCATTTAATGTCTCCACAGCAATCAGTCTATAGAGGAACTCTTTACATTTTGGATGCAAATGGTATGACATGTAGGAATTTAATCATAATACTGTAAATATTTAGATAATTTCAGCCTCCATACTCTGACACAAACCTCAAATATACTGTATAACCTTCATGCCAGATACAGCTTATCAGTATAGCCTGTTCAAGTAAAACATGATTCATCATAATATGATACAAACCAGGTTTTCTTAAGAACAAAATCATCACTTTTTAATCTCTTGCTCTAAATGCTACTAGAAGTTTAGTTATTGTCTTACCACCAGGGAACTGGGGTTACAAAGCAGTAGTGTATTGTTGTCAGAAAGAAATCCACCTGTTGTCTGGTGAAGCCTCTGTTAGCAGCCAGATGAGCAGCAGGCCTCCCTGGGCTTGTGACATTCAAAAAGGACGAAACTCCTGGGACTCCAGCTGGTAGCACACACCTACCTGACTGCCTTGCTACCTCTGACGTTCCTCGGCAGACAGGGATGTAGACCTTTCTAAGGAGCCCGTGGACCGTGTGTGTGAGTTTGGGATTGAGAATAAATGTAATCCTGTATTAATAAAGAGTGGAGGAGAGGAGCTTACCTCACATGAGTGTACACCTGGGCGCAGCGTGTGTTTGTCTGTGTGACTGACTGAATTCAAATGGAGGGTGTATATATTACCAAGGAATTGTTTGCTAATTAAGTTACTTTCATGTAAGGTCATTTAACTCTTCTTTTTAATGTGTGTCCCAGTTTTAAAGCTATAAATCAAAGCTGGAAACAAGGTTTCAGCTCATACACATGCAGACTGGACACTGTCTCGCTCAAAGGTACTTCACAGTGTCAGACAGAGGTATTCCTGGGCAGTCATGAAATTTAAACACACATTCTGGTTTCCAACCACTGCCATTACACCCAGCACAATCCTTGAAAATAACAGTTTATGTCTGAAAATGGTCACCCTAGTTCACAGACAATAATCTTTCAGAGACACCTGTAATTACCAGACTGTTATGGTCAAGATTATATAACTACCAGAATAATCTCTCTTTCTCACATATATAAACTCTCTCGTCCACTGGCTAGCATGTGGTTTTGTATGTAAGGTGACTGCAGGCTAGTTCCTGGGTTTCCGCACCACTCAGCACTGAGCCACCAAATCCCAGATTACATTCAAATCCAGAGCCTACCTGGAAGAATGAGCGACTATAATGACTATTATAATCTAATTACAGTTGCCTACAGTGGATGCTGTTACTGCTGTAACTAAACATGAACTGTTAGTGATCAATAAATGTCTACTGATGAATTTAATGTAATTGATGATTTAAGATACTAGAAATCTACACAACAGTAGCTACAGTCATCAGGGATAAAAACTTAGCAAAACCCTAAAGAATTATTTCTGTTGTCCTCAAACATCCAACAAACAACACAACGCGAAACCAACACCAGTCAAACACATGCAGAGTTGCTAAGCATGCAAGCCCACTTTCAAGATACAGTCCAGCGTGACCCACTTCAGATTTGTAGAAAGCTCATTTCATTGTACTGCTGCATAATAAAGAAAGTTTTTTTTTTTTTTTGATGTATGAAACTCATAAAAGGACTACACTGTGCCTCATCTGAAACAGCTTTGTCTTTCATGAGAGAAACCTAGTTCCATAAATACACTGGCACAGTGTTGTACAACAATTTTATGTTTGCAACACTGCCCTATAATAAAGTCCACTGTCTTCTCAACATTTGGCTCCCTGAAGTAATTCAGCATGTGTATATGAATTAAGTTTAAAACTTGTTTTTTAGCTTCCTTTATACCAGAAGCTGATGCCATAGTCAAAGTGACCTGGAACCAAAGTTTCAGCAAGAATATATACAGTTCACCTATCTAAGACTGTGGTCTTTTGAATAAAAACATAATCGCTACATTCACCTTAGACAAAACTGACTCACCAGATACATATTAGTGCAAGTCACTTTCTAGATACGCTACATTCTATTTCTTCAATAAATAAAGAGGAGGGCATCCATCTTTCAAGGCTAAATGGATGATATAAAGCCATATGCTTACATTTTAATGAGCTTTATTAAGAGACTGTTGGACTTAAAGGTCAAGTGTGTAGGATTTAGTGGCATCTAGTGGTGGGATTGCAGAACTAAAACTTTCTTCAATGTGGAAACATGTCGGAAAACTATGGTGGCTGATGTGAAAATGTGGATGGCCCTATCTAGTGCCAGTGTAATTTTTGCATTCTGGGGTTCTGTAGAACAACATGGCAGATTCTGTGGAAGAAGACCTGCACCATATGTAGATATAAATGGCTCATTCTAAGGTAGTAAAAAACAAAACAAGTTTCAGGTGATTATAAATGAATAAAAACATAATTATAAATGCCATTACTGCCAACAGATGTCCCCAAATCCTACAAACTGGACTTTTAAGGTCTATCTTTATGAAACATTATTAAAGCACAATCATCTGGAGAAATATCAGGAGAGTAGGTTGTCTTAAAATCATTAATATACATACAAAAGACAAGATGACCCAACATACTACCCTGCGGGATGCCACACTCACTAAGATGTATGTTAGTTGAACCGCTTTGCCCTAAAAAAAAAATATATTTTTTTTTAAATATTATATGCTGCTTTTACAATATTGCATAAAGAGGAATTGGTTTGGGTTCCAATTTTCTGGGGGCATCAGCACCTTTCAGAGATGGGTAATTGGTTACTTGGCCTGTCACTGATTCTAGAATATGGTTTGTGATCCAGCTGCAGTAAAGTATTAGTATCTGCTAACAATAAATGAATCACATTTGCCAGTCCATTCTTCACAATGAGCCAACTCATCAATATGTATGTGTGTGTGTGTGTGGGGAGGTGTAACTACACAGTAGTGTAGTGTCTGAGTGTGTGTGTGTCCAATCAAGACTAACTTGAGCAGACAAAAATCTCTTCAGTGTCTCCCTGCATTGTCACTCAGTGGATTAACGGGCAGATCAGGTCACCCAGACACAGCACAGACAGTCTAATGGAGGTTAAAAGAATACAAGTAGATTTATAAATGTCAGTTCTGAAGAATGAAGCGGTGTATCGCTCAGTTTCATCTATTATTTATGTGGTGGGACCTCAGGCGCCAGGTGTAATGTTAACAGTGCTCCAGAACCATTTATTTAAATAAAATGTTGTTATGTTTTCAGTACATTTCTATACAGTATTCTAAAATCATATCATTACCTATCTTATTAGCACTTTCAATTTTTGGATTTGGCAGAGACAAGCAAATTTTGGTTATGCCAAAATCTCAGTGGGATCAAAACTTTGTAAAAATCTGTTTAATAATGATAAAGACGTGTCAACTGAGCACTGGATGCATTTGATATTTACAGCTTAGTTTTAATGGATGCAATTCTCAAATTTCTGTGTGAAGCGATCTTTGAATTTGTAACCTGGTAGTTGAAAAACAACTATTGATAGACACATGGGCAGATTAACCTGGATTAACCCTAGCTACTGGTCCCCTATTAAGTTTCTGTTAATGAAGCAGACCTGCCTTAAAGGAACACTTCACCAACAAAATAATCATTTGCATATCAATTAGTCATGCTGTGTTACCTTGAATTCTGAAGAAAGCCTTTATTTTTCTTGAAAACTTTCATGGAAAAGGGTGAGCATAATGATTCATTGATTGATTTGGGACCATGTTTAAGAATAGCAAACTACATCAAAACATCTGTTTCCAAACTCTCACACAACTGGTGCAGTATATTCCAAGTCTCCTTTATCCAGTTGTATGCTCAGTACTCAAATACATGCATTCTTGCCACAAAGCCTTAGTACTGAAGTCTGGCTCTGCAGAGAGCATATACACGTTATGCTTTCAGTTCAGTTTTAAATAGAAAGGCTTGAGTGAAGGTGCATATTTAGGAGTAAGGCATACAACTAGATAAGTGAGACTTGGATTATACTGCATGGGTTGTGTGACAATTTGTAAATGGATTTTTAGTTTGCTGTTGTTAAACGTGGTTCCCAATCAATTTATAAATCAACATGTTCACCGTTTTCCCATGGAGGCATGCCGAAAATATGTTTTCTTCACAAATTCAAGGTAACATGGCAAATGGTCATTTTGTGGGTGAAGCATTCCTTTAAGGCTCTTACATCAGTTTATTCGTAAACAAAATATTAAATATATATAATATACAAATGATCATAAACGCTTAGCATAAAGAGCAAAACTTTTGTGAACCTTTGTAATCATAGTTTGATAAAACAAAACAAAGAAATCTTGAGATAAGGTCCATTTACTATTTTTTCCTGAGGCTGTTTCACACAGATGACTCCACTATGGTTGAAATTCACAGACAAAACTAAAAAGTTGATCTAGAGTCAACTGTTCTTTCTGACTCAAACTAATTGTGACTTTGGAGATCTGGGCTTTTGGGGCCCCAGAGGGTCTGGGGGCCCAGGGCAGTTGCCAGTTCTGCCAGGTTGGTCATCTAGCCTTGGCTGGAACAAGGGGAGGAAATTACAGCCAATAATGCCAATCTTATCTTTATCTTTGGGGAGGGTAAAAAAAAAACAAAAAACAAACTAAGTAACCAAGTCTTACCCCTGCCACGTATTTTCTCTAAGAAATAAAGAACAGTTCCTTATTTGTTTCCAAGTGTCAATAGAGATTATTTGCATTTTGAACTACAGACAATATGGCGGAGGCTCTGTGTTGTAATTCTATAGTCACCTGTAGAAAATATAAAGACATATTTCGATCGTAAGCCGCGGCATAACTTACAGGTGTCACTGATTTATGGTGAGGTT